CAGGCTCCTGCCTGCTCAAGGACCTCTCTGAAGCTGTAGAAGAATCCTTTCCTGCTCTGGTGGGTGCATGCTGCGTTCTCCTGCTGCTGCCAAAGCTGTTCGTAGTGCTCAGGAGGCAGAGGTGGGATCCCTGCCCTGTCCGGCTGCTCCCTCTCAGACCCTCAGAAGAGCAAGTGATGTGTTTTTGAGACTGCTTTCCCCTTTCTCCCTTGCTATTGTAACGTCAGCCTTGCTTTCCCCTTCCCCATCTTTGCAACACGTCCTTTGCGGCAGTAGCTCTGAACCTCCTACCCTCCACCCTAGTGACGTGACTTCTCACAGGTCTCGTTTGGCCAAAGCTCTGTTCAAAAAACCAAGAAACCAACTCTCCGAGCCTGCTGTACTGAAGTCTCAGCCCAGGGACTTCTGGAGTATTCTCTGCTGCTCACCTGATTTCTCTGCCTAACGTTGAGGAATAGATTTGAGGCTTCCTTCCATTAACACTTAATCTTTTATATAGATAGATATATGAGAAACTTTCCTGGTCATTTAGGTGTCACATCACTATTTAGCTCCCCAAGAAAAGATTCCCCGGAGGAAGAATCTACCGTTTGTGGTCTTCTGTAAAATCAAGAGACCCAGAGGTGACCCAGACCTATCACGCTGCTGGGCTGGTGGTGTCTGTACATTTATATAAAGTCTAAGCTGCGTGCGGGGAGTAGGTCAGGGAAGAATTTAATTTAAAATTGAAGAATATCGATGGTCAAAAACTCTTCCCACCAGTTGCACTCAAACGCATGCCTACTATACAGCTGACTGCAAATGAAAAATACTGGTTTACTCTTTTTATTAAAGGAAAAAGACTGTCTTAATTATTTATAGTTCCTATTACTGAATTGACAGATGTAAACTTAACTGATAAATTATATTTGGTTAAATAAAGATGACATTTATTTATGTGGACTGTGGTGTCTTTCCTTCTTACGCCTCTCTAGTGGGTTGAAGGTCTCTCTCTCACATTTTGTAGCTTATTTTAGTTTGCATCGAAACTCTTTTGATACGCAGTGGAATGAGAGTTAAGAAAATCAAATAAGGTGCTGCGCACGAGGCAAACTGTGATTAGTATAAATGGCCGATTACTGGGCTGGCTCCGGCCGTGCCCTCGGTTGGCTCCAGGCAGCTGTGTGAACCGTGGGTGTTTGTTCTCGGCCCTCGCTGTGTACAGAAGCCCTGCCCTGGCTTGCCTGTGGCCTCTCTGCCTGTGACTGTTGATTAAGGTATGTGGGACAAAAGGGTTCTGCACGTTTTTGGGGGCACGCTCAGCAGCCCCTGATTTTGCAGGAATTAGCGGCTTTCGAAGGACTCCCGTCCTCCCCAGCGGTGGGATTTGCTGCTGCGGGCTCTTCGGTAGGGCTGTGCCTCCTGGCTGCTCGCCTGAGCACGGGGCTCGTTGGAGGCTCCTAAAGCAAAGCCCTAGTGCCGCCAGGGACTGGGGAGCCGCCACCACGGCTGTGCTGGCTCCAACTTCTCTCCGGGCTGGGCTACCTCCAGTTGTGGGTCGTTTCCCACAGCCAGCGAAGATCGGGGCTGAGGCACAGGATGGGACGTTTGAGATCTTGGTCTCCTGGGGGTGGGGGGAGGGTTGTGTTTTCTGTTTGGAGGGAAGAGTGATGGTGGAAGCTGCTGAACGCCCCTTACAGAGAGAAACGTTTTGGCGTTAACTTAAGACCTTGAAGGAATCCCAACAGCAGTGCAGCATTGCTTTAAAAATCTACGTACCTCCGCATGGTGCGGATTTTTTGGTTGTCTGCTGGGTGCAAAGGGGAGGGGGCTGGGGGTGCAAAGGACAGAGCTTGGGGGCACAGGGATGCGTGGAGTAGCATCTGGGGGTGCAGGGGCAGGGTCCAGGGGTGCAGAGGGGCAGGGGGCAGGGTCTGGGGATGTGGGGATGCATGGGGGAGGGTCTGGGGGTGCAGAGGGCAGGGTTTGGGGGTCCAGAGG